GATAGTGACAGAGAGAGAGAGAGAGAGTGAGAGAGAGAGAGAAAGTGCTACGCGACCACCGCGTGGGGTGGTGTTTGGGGCCAGCCTGCATAAAACGATGGAGGAGCTTTCTCGGGTGCCATCAACCTGCATGAAGATTCCTCTGGTGCCCGGGAGCTGCACGCTCTGGCCATCAATCGGTCGCTGCCTGACGATAGTCAGAAGCGACGCTCGTTCTGAAGATAAAGGTAGATAGATGGTGTGACAGTTTGATACATACAAAAGGGCCACACCGTCATGCGAACATGGACGCAGTAACACAGTCCCAACCACACAATCTAAGATATAACAGAGATCCTCTGATCGGGCAACTATTTCGGATCCTCGAGTGGGTGTTAGCCAGCCCAGGGGTGATCACCCGAAGAGAAGAGCAGTGCAACTAACACATCGATGCTGAAGGCCATAACAAAACTGCGATTGCTCTGCGCACGGGAGATAAAGAGCACATGTTCGTTAACGGGCACATGTTCGAGTCTGTCCCTCTCTCTCTTTCTCTGATGTTTTCCTCGAGCTACAAATTAAGAAATTGTCCAAGGGGCCACGCGCCATGAACGGTTGGTGATGAGTTTGGCCAATGACACCTGGCTCTCAAACGTTCCTTTCCACAACTACAGGTACGACGAGGAACGATGCGATGCACAGGCACGCAGACCCATCAAAACACATGGAATGAATCCTTCCTCCTCCTTGCCTTCCACTCAAGCATGGAAGTCGATCCGGTGGCGTACTCGTGACACGACGAACCGCACAGTGATGCATCTGGGCTCCTCGATATCAGGACTGGTTGGGCCCCGCTACGCAACATGAGTGCCGCAGTGTGCCCAGATTCGGCGACGCTCATTGCCACTGTATCTCGGTCGCCTGACTCCGACTACAAGCGGACAGATGAACACTGCCGATGTGAGGCAAATGGAACCTAATTCTCTCGACACGCACGTTACTACACCTTGGGAAACTGCATGATCGACGACACGAAACAAGATATGCGCAGAGCTACAAACACGAGTTGCCTGTGCGCTCGCAGGGAAAGGGGGCGGCTGACAATGCGCAGAAGGCTGGCACGCAACGCGTGCATCAAACTTCGGATCACTGCCCTCGTCTGGGCCCCACGCTGGCGCAGTCCGTCAGACCTGCAGGTGCTCCTCTGAGCACCAACGCGCATCTCAAGAAACCCCTGGGGCCGAAGATCGTCACCCCAGCCTGCGTGATCTCGCCCAGCTAGAGCACCTCGAACCAAGCAGCACGCAGACATGCTCGAGACGAGCAAGCCGTGGGAGAGTCCGAAGCGATAGTTACAAAAACCGCTCATGAACAATTGTGTCAGTATGGACAGGTCTGGACGCTACGATTGCACATCATGTCGCTCGTGACGTTGAGTTAATGAAGATGTGTTGGTGCAATTGCCCCTCCTTCGTGTCTGCCAATGCTCAATGGACTCCACCACATACCACTACACTATGATATCCCCCCATCGTCTCCTAGCTCGTTCAACGTCTGTCGTCCTGCCACCCATCCGCGACCGTGCTTCTCAAGCTCTGAATGGATTGTCCTCCGGTCCCCTGGACTCCTTGAATCGTAAGTTCGCCACCGTACCGTCAGCACTGGGCGAAGTGTCCGCAAGTCCCTACGAGACCTATGCATTCAGTCTTGTGAGAGCTGGTTCAGGGGCCCAGAACCCCGCTTTACTGGCGATTTGGAGAGCTCCCTGGAGTGCTCGCGAGGCTTTTCCTGAGGCGCAGGGAGCGTGGCCGCAGGTCTCAACCTCCAGCATGCTGAGTCGACCTTGGGCTCTCTTGGGGGCCCCTTTGAACAACGACATGTGTCCCAAACAGTGGTTGCACTAGTGGTTCCTACCTTTGTAATTGGCGGAATTCGGTGGGTGTGGCGAGGTCTCGCCTGGTGGGGGCCGTGGGCGCCTTGTGAGCGCCCCGTGCGCTGGCTGGGTGCGTCGAAGCTCCGCCCCGTGTGCGGCCGTAAGCGCCTCGCCGGCGCCCTGGGCGCCGGCTGGGGCGCCAGGTGCGCTGGCTGGGTGCGTCGAGGTGTCGTCTGGTGGGCGGCCGCGTCTGGGTGTGGCGACATTTCGCCTGGTGGGCGGCCGTGGCCGCCTCGTGTTTGCACCGCATAGTTTGTGCACCACGCGGATTGCTCCTCGTAGTCGTAGCCTGCGCCACACAGCTTGCACCAAACAGATCGCACCACACAGCTTGCACCGCACAGCTTACACCACGTAGCTTTTACCGCACATCTCGCACCGCATCGCCTAGTGGGACCCCCTCCGCAGATCGCCCTTTATCAGAGGTCAGGGCGCCGAACGGTCATTCACTGTCCCTGTGTGCGTGGCTGAAGTGGGGTTCCGCGGTGCGGTTGATGAGTTTTCCATTCTGGCTCTGAGCAATTATTGTTGGTCCCCCCTGCCCGTGGCACATCGTGTTTTTGGTTACAGTGCTCCTCCCAGGGCTCGCGCTCAACTTTTGATGTGCAAAAGTCTCGGAGCACAGACTGGCCCCCTGGCCCCTGGGTTACAACGACAACGGCTCCCGCGTGACACTTCCTCCCAATGTATGTGAGAATCGTGCTCTCGCGCCGGACGCCCTCACAACTCATGCAGGAGACGCGCTCTCGCGTGGTACTGCCTCACAAATGATTTCGGTACCGTGCCCCCAAGACTCAGGAATCAAACGTTCGCCATGGATTCCCTATATGGTATATTCGGGAATCGCGCCATCGCTGGACAATTCCTTCATGATGGATTGACGCTTCAGCGACCCGCCTGCTCGACCTGGCCGCCTGGGCCCGCCCGCCCGAACTGCCCGGGAGTGTCCGCCCGCCCGATCCGCCAGTCTGGTTCTACCACGTGTGTTCTGCTCCGAGCCCCCCTCCTGTTAATCTCTCTCGTGCTCCTCCTTCCGCCTCCCCCTTCCATCCGTCCTCTCTTCCCCTACTTCAGGGGCTGCGCTAGATACACTTGGCAGGTAAGGGCGATGTACCGCTTAAGGGGGTACGATCGAACACGAAGAGGGCGGGTACTGAATATTTGCGACGCACGTGTTGAATGGTACGCGGACAAATATGAGAAAACAATGGTAACATGATTGTCGTTGTTGTCGTCGCCCAACCCGCGACCCACCCGCGACCCGCCCGCGACCCACCCTCGACCCATCCGCGACCCATCCGCGACCCACATGCGACACACCCAGGACTCGCCCGCGACCCACCCCGCGACCCACCTGCGACCCGCCCGCGACACAACCGCGACCCAACCCGCGCCCGCCTCCTCACTCGTATTCGCAACTGCGGGGCGCTGCATACATATTGCGCATGGTTGGTTTTGTTGCGGGCGTCTTAGGAACCTCGCGAAAGCTGTTTGAGGGCCTCTCTGGAACCCCTGGAAGCCTCCTGGGCACAGCTTTGGGGCCTCCTTGGGCTTCCTCGGCCCACCTTGCTGCGAAGCATTGCCCCCCTCAACATGATTGATGTGAACTGGTACCAGCTTGACCGCCCCGGCATAGACGTCCTGCAACAAGCCCTGCAGAGCACATGTCATAAGCTGAGCACTCCTAACACGCGACGCCATGCGGGGCCACATGCTCGCCCCCTCCCCCCGCTCGAGCGCAAGCCGAGCGCATTCCACAGACGAGTGGCCTCCTAAACATTCCTCCTCCTCCTTCTCCTCCTCCTCCCCCTCCGCCTCCTCCGCCTCCTCCTCCTCCTCCTCCTCCCTCTCCTCCTAGGGCGTAACTTTTCAACAGCAAGCAACAACACAGTTTGTGCTTTCGGCCGAAAGAAATACCAGAGTTACGCGCGCACGCTCGATGCATCAATCGAACGATGCGTGCTTGCAATCAGCCTGTCAAGTCAGAGCATTCGCGCCACACGCTTGCACATGTCGGAAACATCCAACACTCGTCGCGCACCATGCGACTGCGCCCAATAGTACGACGCAGGTCAGACGCGCGAGGTTCCACGCTTGCACGTCGACCCCCGTTCAAAACCAATTGTCCTCAAGCTGCTCAGCACAAGGGGTGCTCAAACAAGTACGATCACCACACTGATTTCCGATCACGAATCGGTCATGCGTTCTCAATGTCTGTGCTCGCGCACTTCCACCTCATCATCATCATCATCATCATCATCATCATCATCATCATCATCATCATCATCATCATCATCAGCATTATGATCATCAGCGTCATCATCATCAGCAGCATCATCTTCATCATCGCCAACACCATTGCCATCATCATCACCACCATCATCATCACCACCATCATTAGCAACGTCACCACCACCGTCATCACCGTCACCAACGTCGTCGTCATCGTCCCCACCGTCGCCACCACGATCATCATGGCCATTGTCATCGTCGCTGCCGTCGCCCTCGTCCTCAACGCCACCATCCTCCTCATCCGCACGAGAGGGGTACTCGAGTCGTCAATTCAGTTGGGCTCTGCCACAAAGTTGCGGGTGAGCGGGTTCGGAATTTGCTCGAGCATTGGAATTCCGAAGGCCACCAGCTACTACAATGTTCCAATGTCTGCCGTCCTTGCGAAAGCACGTGTAGCAGCACGATCCCGCACGAAGGGTTCATGTACTGCTCGGCCCAGAATGGCACTGCAATCAACTGTAAGGCGGGCAGGGCGAACATCAAAGCGTTGGCAGCGGCGCGTTCCCCAAAAGGGGAGGAACAGCAGCAGGAAGGGGAGGAGCAGAACGGGCGGAGGAGCAGGACGGAGAAGTGGATTAGGATCTAGGCCCTTTCCTCGCTCCCCCAGCAGGGAGCGTGCTGCCAAGTGGGGGACCGAGGCGTCGGCAGCGAGTTATTCGCTATCCCAGCAGGGGGCATGGAGGAAGAAGAAGAAGAAGAAGAGGATTAGGAAACAGGATAGGATCTTGGCCTTTTTTCGTCGCTCCTCCAGCAGGGAACGTGCTTCTAACCTTGCGCCCCCCCCTACGATAAAGGTCTAACCCTGGCCGCGCTGCTGCTGCTGAAACCTTGGGCAGCACACCGCTCGGCGGGCTGGACTCCTCCTCCTCCTCCTCCATCCCCAACTTGTCCGACACGTCTTCCCTGTCCTCGCCATCGTCGTCCTCCATGTCCTCGCCAATGTCCTCCTCGTCCTCGTCCTCGTCGCCGTCCCCACCCCATCCTCCGACTCCTCCTGATGCTCCTCCTCCTCCTCCTTGTCCTCCTTGTTCCCCTCCTCCTGCTCAACCACGTCCTCCTCGTCCTCCTCGTCGTCCTCCTCGCGCTCCTCCTTGCCTCCTCCTTCTCCTCGTGCTCCTCAAAAGCCCTTCCCCAAAGATCCAGGCTGACACGCGGCGGGATCCCGACATCCCGATCTTGCCTCGCCCCCACGGCGGATGGGTCTGAATGGCGGCCTGGTGGAGCGCAGATGCTAAATTCCGCCCGCCACGCTCCAACCTTGATACACTTTGGAAACGTCTGGTGGTAAAGATACGGGGCAAGCTAAAACTCACCACCTCGTCCCCCGCCTCCATCCTCCTCCTTCGGTCCTCCTTCGTCCTCTCGCCCTTCGTCCTCCTCCTGTACTCCTCCTCCGTCCACCTCCTCCGTCCTCCTCCTCCTCCTCCTCCTCCTCCTCGTCCTCCTCCTCCTCCTCCTCCTCCTCCTCCTCCTCCTCCTCCCCCTCCTCTTCTTCCTCTTCCTCCTCCTCCTCCTCCTCCTCCTCCTCCTCCTCCTCCACCTCCTCCTCCTCCTCATCCTCCTCCTCCTCCATCCCCCTCCCTCCAGCCCTCCTGCACTCCGCCCCCTCCACCGTAGGGAGGAACTCAACCTTCCTTTCGAGGCCCAAACCGATCGACCCGCCACGATCGCCGCCAGATCTCAGTCGGCGGGTCACTCCCGCGCGGCGGGGCTCAGTCGACCCGAAGATCTCGACGAGCCCACCAGCGCGGGCGAGCGCAGCGGCACGGGCCAGGCGACGCTGGTGCGAGCACGAGGCCGAGGAGGGGAGAGAGGACAAAGGAGGAGTAGGAGGACAAGGAGGACGAGGAGGAGGAGGAGGAGGAGGAGGAGGAGAAGGAGGAGGACTGCGATGAGGCAAGACAAGACATCGTCGGATCCAACTGGTGCCACACTGTCTGAATACGCATCTTGCTGTAGACTGCCAGATGGCGGTGACACCAAGCGTTGTGATCAACGTGAGGAGGAGGAGGAGGAGGAGGAGGAGGAGGAGGAGGAGGAGGAGGAGGAGGAGTAGTAGTAGTAGTAGTAGGAGGAGGAGGAGGAGGAGGGTGAGAGCGAGGGGGGAGGGAGGAAGGATGAGGACGTGGACGTGGTGAGAGCCGGGGACGGGGAGGGCGACGAGGAGCACGTGGGACACGTCCGGCGCGGCGGTGGCTCGTGCCCCCTGCGGCGGCGGTGAGGAGGGGGAGGTGCAGCCGCACGTGTGGGCGGCTTCTGAAGCCCTGAACCCAACATCGTCTTCACCTCCTGGGGGGCACCTCTTTCGCTTCCGCCGCCCTCCGCCGAGCTTCCGTCGGCTTCTCCGCCGGCTTCCGCCCGCGGAGGCGGCCTCGCCTCGCTTTGTTTCCGCCGACCCTCCGCCGCCCTTCCGCCGCCCTTCCGCGGCGGAAGAGATGACAATTCCTTCGACCCTCGCAGGCAAGGCCATTTTTGGAACTCCTCATGTGATCAGGAAGCTCCTCGTTAAAGACATCTGGGCCAGCTGTCTGGGAGCATCTTGGGACAACCCTGGACCAACATCTGTTGTCAACGCAGGACGGGGCGAGCGTGCTCAGGAAACTGGTCCAACTTTCCGGCAAGTTGGTTGAGAAACGCTGGCCCAACTTTTCGGCGGGAGGCTCCTGAATCATATGCTCGACTGTACGTAGGAGTCTGAAAGAGCTGGTTCTCGCCCAAATGGCCCGTTTGGGGGAATGGGGGGAATGATGGATGACTCCTGCACCGCTGGCTCGCGCCCCATTCGACCGTCGAAGACAAGGAATATAAGGAGCAGGAGGAGGAGGAGGAGGGGGAGGAGCAGGAGGAGGAGGAGGCGAGATGATGAGGAGATGGTGAGGAGATGATGAGAAGGTGGACAAGGAGAGCCTGAGAAGGAGAGAGCAGGGGGAGAAGAGAGGAGGAGGAGGAGGAGGAGGAGGAGGAGGAGGAGGAAACGGACGAGGAGGAGGTGACGACGTAGCCAGTAAGAGTCGAGGGACTGCCAGCCTCGAAGTCGGAGCCCGCAGGCGAAACAGCTGGGACGAATGAGCTCCCGCCGCAAGAGCCAGCGGTTTCCCACAGAACGCAGCCTACAGTCACGACGCTGCCACCATAAGGAACCCCACACAAGGAACGACGCCCCTTTTTCTCAATGAGTTAAACTCCGATGTCCGAAAAAAAAGCCTAAGGAACACCTAAGACAACCTGTGAACCAGTTAAGGAATACTGAGCCCCTCCCCAACGAAAATGGTGCCTTCTTCAACCGCCCGACTGTACCGACACAGGATTGAGTGAATCCCGTAGTCCGCCAGATGCGGACATGGGCCTGATATGAATGGGGGCGCTGGCTCGCCCGAGCTACATTACAGTAGTATAATATAAGTGAGAAGTATCTGCAATTGTCCATCGCTGCTCTCGCCGCCATGCGAGGCGCATGCGTAGCTCCTCGGGGGAAGGGGGGCCTGGGCAAACACATTCGCCGTTTGATGCATGTGGAAGGCTTGGACAGGTGCCTCGCGGCGTTCCTCCCGCAGAATTTCAGACCTCTCCATCCCGTAGTCGCCCCCCATCACCCAGTCCCATCCGTACGGTCGGGCCAGCAGGGAAATCAATGCGACGCCATGCTGCGTGCATGGCCATCTGCAATGTGCGCGGGGGATGTAATGTGCGATTTCGCCGGGAATTTCGCAGCCCCAGATGCACCTGACAGGGATGATGCTTACGCGCGCGCGGAACAAAAAAAAAAAAAAAAAAAAAAAAACACCAGCGGGAGATATGATCATGCACCATTGCCAAAGAAGTTGAAGTTGAGAGACGCACTGCGTGCATTCCCCCGCCGCCCCAGCAACGACCTCCACCCCCCAGGGGTCGGCGATTGCCGAACACAGAAACGCTTCTGACCGCAACACGGGAAGAGATGGGGAAAGCTAGGGGCCCACGTGCACGAATGACACTTCACCGGGGGTGAAAAGATCTGTCACGAATGAAACTTCACCGGGGGTGAAAAGATCAGCCCCCCCCGATATTGCGTTCACTGCGTATCCACTTGCGTCTCTATATGCCGCCGGTCAGACCTGAGGGTCAACTCGCTTCGGCGGCGGCAGACTGGCGCGCCCAAGAAACTGCGTTATGGAGAGGCCTGCCCCAGCAAGGTGCTGAGTATTTCCCCTGTGCGAGCCGAGCCACGGGTGCTAGATGTTGCGCGCACTGGCGATGCGAGGCGAGTGCGCTCTGTCGCGCCTTATCCATTGCACGGAAAGAGGTGCGCCAGAAACCGACCCGCGCTTGCAGCTGAGCGGAGGCAGGTGCAATCGGCGGGAGGTTTGGGGGCAGGAAGTCAGACAGAGGAAGGCTATAGGGCGGCAGCCCGAACTCTTTGTATGGAGCCAGGTGCTCGAACATCCGCATCATGGCAAGGAGTATAAACGTCTGTTTGCAACAAGACTGGGTCGACAATGCATTGGGGTTATATAGCAGCGGGGGGTTACTGGAAGACGCCCCAGTCGAGGGGAAAGCACTTCCGCAGAACCGCCATTCCTCAGCCGCGGGGCCCAACATTGAACCGGAGTGGCCGATGGGCCCATCTCGACCCCGCGGTGGGCGGCGCGCCCCGAACTTTTGAAACCGACGCGCAGCGGGGGCCGCTTGCGCAAGTCAGCCTGCGCACTTGCTTCGACAGATTCGGCGCAGTCCGCCCGAAAAGGCACTGAAGGCACGCTTGGCCAGCTGGAGATTCAAGGATGCATGCCGCGCAGTGTCCGAGCAGACTGGCATGATCAGAGCGAGGGGGCAAAGGGTCATTCACTGTCCCTGGCTGCGTGGCTGACGTGTAGTTCCGCGGCGCGGGCTCTGTTTGCCGTTGCTCGCCGTCGTCGCCCCGCCCGCGCCCCGCCCCGCGACCTGCCCGCGACCTTCCCGCGACCCGCCCCCGACCCGCCCGCGGCCCGCCCGCGCCCGCCCCCCCAACTGCGGGGTGCCACGTACTAGCGCGATCCTGATCGCGAAGCATCGCCGCCCCAACGTCGCCCGCGCGCCCCCCCCCCCCCCCCAGAAATTATCTCGTGGCGCATCGCGCTTAGGATCGGAGTGGCGCCATGGGCCAGGCGGGGGACTGGGCCCGCTGCGATCGCCCGCATTGAGCCCGAGCGAAGAAAGCCCCGGAGGGCTCAAGAGCAAAGATGGAAGAGAAACGTAACCTGAACTTGGATCGCCGGTAGCGCCGCCGGCGCCCCAGACTCGGAAAGGCAGCCTCAATGTCGAACGGGGAAGCACGGGGCGCTCTTCGGGGGCGCGGGGGTTGACGGTGGTCGGTCGGGCGGCCGTGTCGAAGGGGGCGATGTTGACGGGGAAGTTTCCCCTGGGCGCGCTGAGCAGCGCGGGTTTTGCGCGGGGCAACCTGGCTGGCCTAGAAGTTAGCCGCCGCGGCCAAGACGTTCGCGCGTGCGCTGCTGAGAAAAAGCGGGGGGATCTCGCCTGGCCGTCGAATGCGCCCCGGAGCGCCCTCTGGGCCCGAGCCCTCGGGCGGAAGCGCGACGATGCTATCGACGCTGTCGTTGAGAAGCGGCGGGGCCGACGGCTCAGCGTCGAAGTGGCGCGACGCGTGGCGCGAAATGGCAATCTCCTCTGGCAAGTAGGTCCAAGCTGGTAGCCGAGGTTGTTTGGGCCGGGGGCCAGGGGCCAGGCGAAACGGAGGGCGCGCCCAAGCGTCTTCGCGAAGAATGCAGACAGGAAGAAAGGGCCTGGGGGGGCCAATCATTCTCAGAGCGCGCGCTGGCCCAGAGTCCTGGCTCGCAAAACTGGCACCGAG